TGACATCCCGATGCTCGGGGTGGCATACTACAGTTACGGTGGGCACCTGGTAAGTGAGAAAAAGCTAGTCTTGGCCCGGTAAGCGGCAAGACTCATCTCGATTTCCAAGTTTAGTCATTCCTCGTCCGGATCTTGGTGGGAATCATCCCGGCAGTACCCAGTAAGGCCGTTTAGCTCGTTATTAACTAGTTCCTCGGTAGGAATGGTCTTAGAGGCGTCTGATGGGCCCGATAAGCTAGTTTTGACATAGTTAAGTGGCGGGAATCTCCCGATTGTACCCGGTTGGCGTTTTAAGCTCGTTCTGACCCTGTTAAAGGTCAGAACTCATCCCGGTAAGGTCCTGACTCATCGTAGGAGCGGGACGGCCGAGTGGCCGAGAACCAAGATGGTTGGAAATGTGAAGTGAAGCTTGGTTAAGGAAGAAAGAACCTCGCCTAAGGTCTGACGAAGCCACAAAGGGCGCAAAGAGTGAATTGGGGCTAGAGTTCCCCGTAAGGCTGGCCATGGTCGAGCTTAGATCATGGCGCCGCGCGGTTGAAAAATGTACGACCGTGACAATAAGCGCGCGCCTCACTGCACTCAAGCGAGATTCCAGTGAGGAATGTTGAGAGATCTCCCTTTGGGGGATTAGGTCTAAACGTGCGGATGAAGGAATCTTGCACCAGTATGGAATTGAATTCACGACACTCTGATGCTTAAGTTAGACTGTTAGAGTGTAAATTGAAGAGTAGCTCAATAAGTTAGAGTGTAAATTGAAGACTAGCTCAATAAGGTCAGAATTGCGTACTTAATATGGTCGTGTTTCTGCCCTTCCATGGTGGTCTTCTTCTATCAAAGGGACAATTATTTGTCACCTGTACGGTGCCATACAACTATGACCATATGGGACACGTCAGTCTATTAGCCCTTACGCTAGTTCGTTATGCGGGATTGTCGATTCCTATCTCTCGCCATGTAACTAGCGAATTATCCAACCTACAACATTGGAATCGAGTGATTCTCTCTTTCTTTCTTTTTTTTCACTTTCTTCGTCTTTACAAACAAAAAAAGGAGGTAAATTTACTGTGGCGCGCTCATTAAAGAAAAATCCTTTTGTGGAAACCATTTATTAAAAAAAAAAAGAAAGTTAACATAAAGTCAAAAAAAGAAATAAGAGTAACTTGGTCCCGAGCATCTATCGACTCCTAATTCGAATTGAGAGTATTTGATTCATAGATCATGGTGGCGGAATTTCCATGTTGTGCCCATGGCCTTTGTGGCATAAGCTAGTAGTGCGGCAACTATAGTGTCGTTTTGCCGCTCGATGGGGCGGCATGGGCCGAGTGCATCCTTCCCTATGTTGCTCATGTCGCTAATCGCATCTCAATTGGATTGTTGGGGCATGAGGGTCAGGTTATAGTTTTCAGCCTACTCGCTCGTGCCACAGGACGAACACAGAAGTTCGATCAAACCATTGTAGTAAGAAACTGCGAGCACAGTCCAACCATACTAGCATGGAAGTTCGGCACCCATGATCTACGAATCAGATACTCTTGAGCTGAATGTGTCTAGTCAGTTCAAGCTTAAGAGTGAAGGCCAATGTTGTGGGTTGAATATTCTTCTAGTTACATGGCGAGAGATGGTAACAACATGTGGCTGGAATTTTGGGTAGGGCCTGATGTGGGCGAGTTGCAACCGAATATGGGTAAGGCCAAGCTCCTCACTCGGAGTGAAACGGGCACCGACCCACTAGTAAAGCTTGGCTGGGGACAATACCAGGAAAGGACTTACCCTAGCCTATAACCTAATTCCCGATAGCCCGATGCGTCCCGCATGAGGGACTAGTGTATGGCCTGACAGACCATATAAGGTATGCAATTATGACTGTATTGAGCTTGGCCTTCTTCAAATTCACACCTTAACTTAAGCATCGGAGTGTCATGGGGCTCAGCACTACACTAGTGCAAGATTCCTTCATCTGCAGGTTGTTAGGTCGCCCAGAGGGAAATTTATTTGATGCTCCTCGTCAGAATCTTGATTCTTGCATCAACAAGTATTTTCATATCTTTGATGCAAAGGCATAATGTAGACCCAAAGTTATAACTCCAAATGAGGCAAATTCAGATCTGGGGTGAGGGAACTGGAAAGGGAAGGAGGAAGAAAGAAAATTTAAAAGAGGAGTTTGGGTGTTCGTCCTGTTAAGAAAATAATGAAAAGAAGAGGTTAGATGGTCAAAATTTTTGAACTTGTATCTAGCGTCAGAATAAAGATGAAGAAATCCTAGGTAGGTACAAATATGGAGCAAGGGAAAGCTCGTGAGATGGCATGAATATTGGGATGTATGGGATGTACCCCATGGCTGTTCGAATTGCCTTTGGCATATGTATGGATACAAACTCTGCCTTTGACCTCTTTTTTGTGAAGTCCTTGCCACCGATCAACCCCATCACTAAGCAGTTTGGCTATTTTACCAACATCCAAAGCAGACAACCTCCTTGTTAGCCAGCAAGATTTCCCATTCACCATCCCTGCAGAACCTTTC